TGTATGATGCTTTGTATTCCTGTGGTGTCTGTCGTTTTTTCCCCCTTTTTCATCCCTGATTTTATTTGTGTCCTTTCTCTTTTTTCTTTAGTGAGTCTAGCCAGGGGTTTGTCAATTTTTTTAACCTTCTCAAAGAACCAGCTCTTTGTTGCATTTATTTTTTCTATTGTTTTTGTTGTTGTTGTTTTCAATTTCATCAAAAATGATTTATAATACTCTGCCAGCTGACAATGGATTAGGTCATTATTAAATCCTTGTCAAAAGCAAAATATTTGAAACCTCCCTTTAGTGAAGTTAGTGGCCCAGTCATTAGTCATTTGCTTTCTCAGCAGTGGCACCAATATTTCAAATCATCTTTTGTTTGGCGTCCACTGGTTTTGGGCCCGAGGCTGGGCCTCTATAGTATAAATCAGGGTGGGTGACAGGTGTTCCTGGGTTTTCTGAAGTAGAAAGGATGATATGACAGGAGGGAGGAAAGGAATATAGCCTGACTTCAGATGTGTTCCAGGAGAATGAATTATTAGGCAAGAATACCATGAAGGCTAAAGATCTAGAAATAGATTTCCGTAAAACCATCCTTTTTAAGAGTGCCCAGGGTATGCAAACCTCATATGAAGACCACCGATCTGGATAATAAGCTTAGAATATTGCCAGGAACATATGACATGTTCAATAAATACTAATTATGGCTTTATTTTTGTTGCATCTATAAATTACCCAGCACATAGTAGTTGCTCCGTAAATGGAATACAGAGAGAGGTTAGATACTAATAGGGGACTGGCCCAGATAAACCTAAAAAGCCTCCTCTAAAGTTGAGATTCTGTCATCCTAGTCTGGACCTTGCATTGGTCACCTGCCTAACAGATCACTCCAGATGTGTAACTTAAAACAACAAAATTTTATTTTCTCATAATTCTGCAGGTCAGCAATTTGGGTTGAGCTCAGCTGAATAGTTCTGGTCTCAGCTGGAGTCACTCATGCAGCTATAGTCCAATGGTAGATCAGCTGGGGCCTGGCTGCTTTGGGGCCTCAGCTAGGATGACTTGCATCTATTCCATGTGGTCTCATCTTCTAGTAGGCTAGCCAGGTTTCTTCACATGGTAGCAGAAGAATTCCCTGGCAGGAGGCAGGGGGGTAAGGGGAGGGATGGGAGAGAGTGAAGGGGGAGGGGAAGGGGAAAGGGAGATAACAAACTTTCGAGCATAGGGGCCTTTTATGCCTCTGCCTATGACACATTGGCTAATGTTTCATTGGCCAAAGCATGCCACGTGGCCAATCCAGAGTCAGTGTGGGAGGGGTTTACACATGGGTGTGGATGGATATAAGTAGATATGATCATTGGGGCCATTGATGTAACAATATACCACAAAAACCTAGGGCCTTGTGGCTGCTTCAGCTTTACTTCTGTTTGAGGTGAACTCAACTGTGAGTTTAGATTGGACACTTGGTAGGATAACTACTTAGATATTCTTATTTTTCCTCTACATCTAGACTCTTGTTTTTCTCAAGGAGACCTACTGTGGAGGGTATCTTTCTTTAAGAATATTTTTCCAAGAGCATCCTCTTAGTCCTAGAAGAATGTAGATCAGAGAATGAAAACCCATTTTATAGAGAAGAGCATCTAAGTGGAGACTGGTGGTCTCAAAGGCTTTCTCATCACTAAGGCAGACCCCAGAAGTTGGGTGACCCTGTTACTCCAGGATCCTTCAGTTTAGAACCCAACTCAACCTGGCAAAAAATTTGATGTTTTGAGCTATGTAACCAGGAAATGTGGGCTGTATGGCTTCATGGCTGGCTTGATCCAGGTGTGGAACAATATCAAGTCACTGTGGTATCCATGTTCTGGCTCTGCTGTATTCATCCAAAGAGAACTATGAAAGCTCTGAGAGGTATGAAAAATGAGAGGTAGCTTGTGCCAACATCTGGGCAACACCTGGGCATCTACATATCCTCATAATCCCTGGAGCATATATATCTAAAGGAGCATTTATTTATCATCTTCTATTTCTTTTTCCTTTCACAGCGAGACATTATTTGGTGAAATGCCCTCAGAACAGGTAGGAATATTTTCTTTCTTTTTTCAAATAAAACTCTTTGCTATTTTGCTTTCTTTTTATGTTACCAATAAATTGGTTAAATTTGTATCTTTACCTGAAGATTTGCATATTAGTTCACAAATTAGCCTTAAAATGTGTTCTGCATTCATTTGCTTGTTTCTAGGCTCCATGCTCTAGCTGTTACTCCCAGAACATCCCATAAACATGTGGTTATTGCTGGTGCAACATGCATGCTTGAGGAGGCTAGGCGCCTGCTACTGGAGTACTGTTCCCTCAGTTAGAAAGGGGTTGGCAGCTGAACTGAACCACTTTGATGCCTTCTGACCACAAGCACTCTTAACCTTCCAACAATACCTGCCCATTCTGCAGAATATAGCCATTACTAATATAAGTGCTAAGATACTAAACTTTTTAAATGATGGGACACACTTCACAGGTAACATAATAGTTATAGTAGATATTACAAACTCATAGTGATTAAAAATGTGAGACTTTCAATTTAGACAATATGGCACAGGTCAAATTCTCCCTGCTCTTCCATGCTAAGCACAACTATTAACCCCAAAACTAATATAAAAGACAACCAAAGGAGGACTCTGAAAGTTAGTGAAAAGAAAATTATGAAAACCAAAGACAAAGAAAAAATCTTAAAAGCAGCCAGAGAAAAACAATGCATTACCTATAGGGGAACACAAATTTGAATGACAGTGCCTTTTTCATCTGAATCCATGGAGAGCAGAAAGAAAAGGCACAACTTTTTTCAAATACTAAGAGAAAAGAACTGTCAAGCACAAATTCTATACACAGAAAAACTATCTTTTAGGAAAAAGGAGAAATAAAGACATTCTCAGATGAAGGGAAACTAAAAACAATTGTCACTATTATTACTACTTTAAAACAATAGCTGAAAGAAATTCTCAAAATAGAAGATAAAATCTTGGTGCATTAGGAAGGAAGAAGGAATACTAGAAAGAGCATAAAAATATGTATATGAGTAGACTATTTTTTTCCTCATGAGTTTTAAAAATAGTATTTTATGATTAAAACAAAAATGATAAAACCATCTGATACTCAAGAAGAGTTTTATATTTAAAAGTTAGAAAGATAAAGTGAACTAAATAAAATTGAGGTTTCTATACTTCAAAGTGACAGAATGTTGGTACCAGTAGACTATGCAAATCACATGTGTATGTTATAATGCTCTCTCCCTCCTCTGTAAGATCTGTCTGAAAGAGGATATCAAAGTAGCTGTCCCCGCCTTTGATGCGATCTCCCGTGAGATCCTGAGATACACAGAGCCCATTCCCAGAAGCCAAGGGACCAGAGGGCCAGTCCCCTTCTCTCTCAGCCTTCCTGCTTCTCTGCCATCACCCCTGGCCTTGCTTGCCTTATTTTCCTGGGGTGCTTATTGTTTCCATGAGTTGTAGTTAATTGTGCTCATGTGTTGCATGGTCGTGATTGGGACAAGTGTATTTCTGGCTGGGGCAACATACATGTGCAGTAAATGGAGAGTGCCCAAAGGATGGAGGAAGATGTACCATGCAAACAATAATAATAAGAGAGGTGGTAACTTTCAGATAAAAAAGAATTTCATAATTTAAAGAGTCAACACATCAGGTAGATATAACAATTATAAATGTATATGTTCCTAACAACAGAGCCTCAGATACATGAAGCAAAAACAGAAAATTGAAAGAATAAATAGATAATTCTAGAATAATTGCTGATTTCAATGCTCCATTCTCAATAATTGATAGAATACCTAGACAGGAAAACAATAAGGGCACAGAAGATTAAGCAATTTTACCAAACACATAAGAGTTCTCCACACAATGACTGCATGATACATTCTTTTCAAGTGTACTTGGAACAGTCTCTAGGATAAACCATATGCTAGGTCACTAAACAAATTTATATAAACTTAAGAATATTATGTATGTAAGAAATTATACAAAATCTGTTCTCTGACAACAATAGAATTAAATTGAAATTAATGACAAAGAAATCTGAGAAATTCCCAGACATTTTGAAATTTAAAACAACATGCCTCTAAATAATACTGGGCCAAATAAGAAATCACAAGAGAAATTAGAAAATATTTTGAATTAAATAAAAATAAAAACTCAACATACCAAAACTTACAGGATGCAGCTAAAGCAGTGCTTATAGGAAAAAAAAATGGCTTTAAATGCCTATATTAGATAAGAAGAAAAGTCTCAAATCAAGAACCTTAACTTTCACCACAAGAAACTAGAAAAAGAAAGACTAGAAAAAGAAAGTGGAATTCAAAGTAAGCAGAATAAAGGAGATAATAAAGATTAGAACAGAATGCAATGACATGCGTGTGCACACACAGAAATGTAATGAAACCAAAAGTTTCTTCTTTGAAAATATTAACAGAATTTAGAAACCTTAAGTTAGACTGTCGATGAAAATAACAAGAGAGAAAAAGCACTATCAAAATTAGGAAGGGAAAAAGGAATCAGAACCTACAGAAATTAAAAGGATTGAAAAGAAATATTATGAAAAAGCTTATTCTAAGAAATTAGACAACATAAATGAAATGTAAAAATTCCTAGAAAGAAACAAATTACCAAAACTAATATAAAAAGTTATAATTTGAATAAACCTATAGCAAGTCACAAAACTGAATTGTTAGCTAAAACTTTCTAACCATGAAAAGCCCAGGCCCACGATTACTTTACTGGTGAGGTATATATCAAGTATTAAAGAAAAATATAATGCCAATCCTGCACAAACTATTTTTAGAAAATTGAGAAAGCATAGTCTTTTCAACAAATGCTGCCATGATGAAATAAAGAACTCTCACAACTCAAGGATGACAAATACAATTAAAAATGGGCAAAAAGATTTAAGTGGATATTTCTCTAAAGAATATGTACGAATGACTAACAAGTTCATGAAAATATGTTCAGTATCATTAGTCATTAGAGAAGTGCAAATAAAACCACAATGTGATGCTACTACATACCCTACACACTACACGTTACACCCACTACAATGGTTATCACAGAAGAGACAGGTAATGTCAAGTGTTAGTGAAAAAGTGGAGAAACTGGGATCCTGTAGATTGCTTGCAGAAATGTTAAGTGGTATAGCTGCTTTGGAGAAAAGCTTAGTGGTTTCTTAAAACATTATACATAAATTACCTTATTACCCAGCAGTTGCACCTGTAGGATTCTACCCAAGAGAAAGCATATATCCACACAGAGACATACATGCAGTTGTTCATAGCTGCTTTATCCATAATAACTAGAAGCTGGAAATAACCTAAATATATTCATCAACTGGTGAATGGATAAATAAAACTTAGTATATTCATTCAATGAAATGTTATTTGATAATAAAAAAGGAACAAACTGCTGATATATGCTACAACATGGATGAACCTCAAAAACTTTAAACTAAGTGAAAGAATTTAGATGCAAAATATTACATATTGTATGATTCCATTTGTTTGAAATATCCAGAAAAGGTAAATTTATAGAAACAGACAGTAGATTCATAGTTGCTTAGATCTAAAGATGGGAGTAGAGCTTAACTATAAATGGGCAAAGAGAACTTTTAGGGTTGACAGAATGTTCCAAAACTATATCATAGTGATGGTTTGCACAGCTTTATAAATCTATTAAAATTATTGAATTGTACATGATGATCAGTCAATTTTATGGTGAGTAAATGATGACTGAATAAAGCTACTTGTCTCCTTTTTAGAACATATGTCCCCATAAGGTCCCAAGGACTAGCATTTCAGATGTGGAGGCAGGTTATGGCTAGGTGGTCAAAGCTGTGGAGGGCCAGCCTGTAATGTTTTTCACGATTTGCTTGCTGTAATCTAGTATCTAGCCTTTCATCATTAGCATGCAGTGCCAGCCCTTCAGATCTGCTTCCTTTCACTTATAGGCTTTCCCCTTTGGTTGCCCCTATTCTGAGCTGGTGTTGACCAAGGCTGGAAGTACAGAAAAGGATGTCACCCCAGCCTGGCAGGCATTGGAATTTGGTCTCCCTCCATCCCAGGATTCCAACCAGAGGTCAGGGATGACCACAGAGTCCTGTTGAAATGCTCTGCTTTCTAACAACTGGTGCTGTCAGACTGGTTAGGTGCCCAAGCTGACCTCTCTCTGTGGGCATGTCTTCTGTTGGTCAGCCCACAGATCTGCCTCTGGAAAGCCCACCTTTATTCTACTGCACCCCAGAACCTTGCAGGGGCCAGGCCCATTCCCACAAAGCTGGTAGTGGGCTCTCTGCAGACTTGCATTCATCTTCCTGATTAGAACCTCATGTCAATTTGACTAGGTGTAGCCCAGATTCCCTTCCATGGTCACTTGCTAGTGAACAGGTCAATCTTGCCTTTAAACCAGCTTTAGTTTGTGTGCTCTGTTTCATATGCAGTTCCTCCCACCCCTGTCCTGCCAAAGGACTCTCGGATCCCAGCTTTATCATCTGTGCTATGGCAGTGGTTGTCTGGGCCCTTGGAGCCTCAATCTGTGACCAAGACAAATGTCCTTCTCTGTCCTCTGACCACTTCCTCCCAAGGGAGAATGGACAGAGAGCACAAGACCAAGGCATGGTGCCAGGAACAGGAACTCTCAGGTGGGAGCAGGACCCTCAGGAAGAGGCCATGTGCTGGCACTGAGCCTGTGGTGACCAAGAGAGGGGCTTTGCTAAGTGGCTGGGACAGAACCTGGAAACTCTAGGGAATTCAATGACTTTTTGAAAGAAGATCAAATGAAAGAATGTAAGTCTTATCTCGAGTTTGCATTATCCCTGAAGTTAGAAGTTGCCATCTCCTGGGAAGGGTGGCCCTGATCTTTAGGGTTAGGAGACTTTGTTTTTCCTCCCCTGCAAAGTTCTTCCTGGATCAGAGACCCAGGCCCAAGCAGGTATCTCAGGATTCAGTAAGATTTGAAATGTGCCCTCCCCAGGGAAAACAGCTTTGAGAGCAACTCAACTGTATGAAATTCCTCCAAAAGTTCCCA